TATATATATATATATATATATATATATATATTAATATATATATATATATATATATATATATATATATATATATAGTATATATATATATATATATATATATCTTCTTCTTTCTTTCAACACACCGGCACGTATCCCACCAAGGCGGGGTTATTGGCTCAAAAGGAAAAAACGAAAGTTCTTCCATTTTATACATTTAGTAATATATACAGGAGAAGAGGTTGACCTAGCCCTTGCTCCGGCATTTTTAGAATCTCCTCTTATACAACACTCATGGCTTACGAGGAATAATTCTGTTTCCACTTCCCCATGGAGGTAAGATGAAATAAACAAGAACGGAACTAGAAAGAAAATAGAAGAAAACCAAAGGTGTGTGTATTATATATGCTTGTACATGTATGTGTAGTGTGACCTAAGTGTCAGTAAAGTAGCATGACGTAACCCGGAAATCTGCATGTGTATGAGAAAAAAAAAAAAAGACACAGCAGATCCTACACATCGTGTAAAACATTACAGGCTTCAGTTTTTACATTCACTTGGCAGGACGTAGTACCTCCTGGGCGGTTGCTGTCTATACCAACCTACTACTAGATATATATAATATATGTCGTGCTGAATATGTAAAAACTGTCAATTAGCAAAACTCATTTAAAATTAAGTCCTTTCTGAATTTCTCTTATACATTTAAAGATATATTTTTTCTTTAATGATAATGAAAAAATTTTTACTTTTGCACCAAAAGAATCTAAAAAACTTACCTAAAACCCTATTATAACAGAGAAATTTATTTTAGCCTAACCCAACTAAATATATTTTAAATACGTTTACAATAATTTAGTACTAAACTAACCCAATTCAAATATAATTTTTTCGTTAGTTCAGAATGATTTTTGGCGAAATTATTGCATACACAAATTTTCACGTTGTCCTTATGGCAAGATGATGTTGGCATTTAAGCCAAGATGCAAGTTCTGCCTATTCAGCACGTGATATATATACAGTGGACCCCCGCTGTAACGATCACCTCCAAATGCGAACCAATTATTAATTGTATTTATGTTAAGTGCGTTTGTACGTGTATTTTGGGGGTCTGAAATGGACCTAATCTTACTCCAATAATTCCTTATGGGAAAAAGATTCGGTCAAGTACTGGCCTGAACATACTACTGGATGAAAAGTTCGTAACCGGGGTACCACTGTATATATATAATATATATATAATAAAACTATATATATTTTTTTTTTTTTTTCAACAAACCGGCCGTATCCCACCAGAGTAGGGTAGGCCAAAAAGAAAAACACGAAAGTTTCTCTTTTTTTAAATTTAGTAATTTATACGGGAGAAGGGGTTACTAGTCCCCTTGCTCCTGGCATTTTAGTAGCCTCTTAACAACACGCATGGCTACGGAGGAAGAATTCGTTCACTTTCCCCATGGATAAAATATATAATATATAATATATATATATAAATTATATATATATATATATATATATATATATATATAATATAAATATATATATATATATATATTATACTATATATAAAAATATATATAATCTATCAAAACAACCACTGGAAAAAATAGAGAAGTTCCAAGCACTTTCGAGTCTTCTCACATTATCAGGGAACAATGAAAGTAAAAGCATACAGGAAGGTATATAAGGGGTAGCCCCACCCTCACTATCAGATCCCACAACAACGAAACACCACCGAGACAGCGCAGCCCGCCGGCAGAACAGACAGTCCCTCCATACAATCCACCACAAACTATTCTACCGCAAGATAATAAGATATTTAAAAAATTATATGTTGTCCAATGTATTTATTATAATTCTTCCAATTTCATTGATATAAAAGGATCCTAATTTTTAAAACCGAAGGAAATATTCATATTATTGTCAAAACTGCTTTTTTTTAATGAACAAGATTCAATTATATTCCTGTCGACCATGGACTTGCTTGGTACTACACTAATATGAATATTTCCTTTGGTTTTATATAAATTAATCCATTATAATAATAGAATTTTTGGGAAGAATTAAATAAATACATTGGACAAATAATAATTTTTTAAATTTCTTATTTTCTTGGGGTAGAATAGTTTGTGTGGGTTTGTATGAAGGACCTGTCTAAGTCCGGTCCGGCGGGCCCTGCTGCTCGCGTCAGGTGTTTTTCGTTGTTGGGGATCTGATAGTGAGTGTGGCCTACCCCTTAAATACTTCCATTGATGCTTTAACTTTCATTGTTCCCCTGATAATGTGAGCAGTCACGAAAGCGCTTTGAACTCTCATTCTTCATAGTGGGGCTTGCATATTCTGAATCACCTGTGTACTGTGATCTTATGTGTGTGTGTGTGTGTGTGTGTGTGTGTGTATATATATATATATATATATATAGATATATATATAATATATATATATAATATATATAATATATATATATATATAAATAGTTATATATATATGTATATATGTATAAGTATATATATATATAAAATATATATACGTGGACCCCCCGCATAAACCGATTACCTCCGAAAGTGACCAATTATGTAAGTGTATTTATGTAAGTGCGTTTGTACGGGTATGTTTGGGGGCGGAAAGGACTAATCTACTTCACATATTTCTTATGGGAAAAATTCGGTCAGTACTTGCACCTGAAATACTTCCTGAGTGAAAAAATATCGTTAACCGGGGTCCACTGTATGAATGTATGTATGTATAAATATAAAGATATTTATAATATATATATATATATATATATATATACATAAGATATTATATATATATATATTATATATATATATATACTATATTAACAAAACAACCATCTGAAAGATAGATTAGAGAAATTCCAAGCGCTTTCGGACCTTCCCCACATTATCAAGTGTGCGCGCGAGCGCGTGAAAGAAAGCATCCAAGGAAGCTATTTAAGAGGGTCTGGCCATCACCTCACTACAGATCCACAATGGTTAAAACACGTGACGCCGCGCCGACCCAACTTGAAGGCCTTTGCACAACTCACCCCACAAACTATTCTAACCCAAGAAAATTTAAAAAATTATTATTATCCATGTATTATTAAATTCTACCCAAATTCCCTATTAATTATAAATGGATCTAATTTATATAAACCAAAGTTTTGATTGTTACTTCCTTGTTTAAACCGTAAGTTTTCCTGTTTGATGATTTATTAAGTTCTTATCTGAAGCACTCGTTAACTATGTTTTACCATTGCCAGTCCACTATCTTAAACTTATTAAACTTTGCATTGTTGATGCAAAATTTGTATTTAATGATAATTTTACACGCAGAAAGTTTGGTATGGCAATGGGAAATCCTCTTCACCTGTTCTTAGTAACCTATACATGTAATTTTTTGAAACACGGTTGCTTAACACTATCCACCTAATAGTATATAGCTAAATGGTTCAGATATGTTGATGATATTTTTGTGTCTTATGCCCAAAAATTAGATATACACATTTCCTTGAAAATTAAATAGCTTAGCCCATTCTATAAACTTTAACTGTTGAGTTTGAAGAAAATAACTCATTGCCTTTTCTAGATGTATTAATTATTAAGTGGTAAAATAATTCAAATTTAAAATTTAAAGAAAACCTACAAAAAACTGTTCCTATGTCCACTATTTTTCCTCGCATCAAGATAGAGTCAAACTGTCTGTTTTCTCATCAATGTTTTTGAGAGCTTTACGAATTTGTAGTCCTGAGTTCATAGATGAGGAAATATCCAAAATTTATGAAATAGGTAATGATTTAAAATACCCAAGAAATGTAATTGATAAATCTTTTAAAGTTGCTAGAAATACTTTTTACAATCCAAAAAGGGACAACCAGCCTTATTCAACAAAAAATATGTTGGTTCTCCCTTACCATGAAAACTTGGTTGATACGCCTTCTCTTCTTAAGACTTTTAATATTAAAGTTGTATTCAAAAAATCTTGATACAGTAAAAAAACTTTTGATAAAGAATTCCCCCCAAAATGCTGATGGATGTGTCTATAAGATTCCTTGTAAAATTTGCGATAAAGTTTATTACGGTCAAACTGGTAAAAATCTCGAACTAAGATTAAAACAACATAAATATAGCATTAGAACTGGACAAGATTCCAATGCTCTATTTATTCATGTAAGAGATTTTAACCATCCAATTGATTTTCAAAAAGTTGAGAAAGTAGTATCAAGCAAGTCCATGGTCGACAGGAATATAATTGAATCTTGTTTCATAAAAAGCAGTTTTGACAATAATATGAATATTTCCTTTGGTTTATATAAATTAGATCCATTTATAATTAATAGAATTTGGGAAGAATTTAATAATACACTGGACAAATAATAATTTTTAAATTTTTTTGGGTAGAATAGTTTGTGGGTGAGTTGTGCAAAGGACCTATCCAAGTTGGGTCGGCGCGCGTCAGGTGTTTAACCTTTGTGGGATCTGATAGTGAGGTGCCGACCAGACCCCTTATATAGCTTCCTTGGATGCTTCACTTTCATAGTTCCTTGATAATGTGAGTAGTCACGAAAGCGCTTGGAATTTCTCTATTCTTTCAGAGTGGTTGTTTTGCATATATATATACACACACACACACACACACACACACACACACACTAGTATTATTAATTTATGGTATACTATATTTTGACTGTATGAAATCAAAATTAGTAATTACTACAAATGTCATAATATAAATTTACTTAATTTAAAACAAACACAAGTTTTAAGCAAAACATCACAAAGGCAATATAAACCACAAAATGAGAGGGATTTAAACTCATGGCAAGCAAGTCTTAAAATTCCAGGATTGGAGTTTTATGACTCACTCGCCATGAGTTCAAATCCCACTCGTTCTGTGGTCTGCTTTTAATCATGTTATGATTCTGTGAATCATAATAGCAATACAATTTTATGCACCAATATTGTGATCTCTCAATATATTGTGCTATGCGTACTGTGTACTGCTAATACTGTAATAATACTTGCCACACTGGGAGCTGGAGAAAATTCAATTAACTGTATGGCTAATCCAGTGTTGTTTGTGATGGGGTTGTAAGTGTTAAGGTGCAAGAGATAGCGTGCCTCTTTATTCAAGTAGTCTGTATAGAGCACGAGTACTGACTCGTGAGTCCCAGTCGATGTCAGCTCTTTAAACAGGAAAACGTCAGTCTGGAATCTCTCTGTCACAAATGGCTCATGCACCAAGCTGAAAAGAGAAACATTAACTGTATGGATAGCTGTACATGCAATTTAACAATGCTCATTCAAGCCTTTACTTCAGGGCAGACTCTAGATTTCAATTACTGTATTACTAATTATGAGAAATACAGTGATACCTTTTCCTCATTGAAATTAATTGAAATGCCCTTAATCTGTTTCAGCCCCCAAAAAACCACCTCCCAAAAAAACACCCCATTTTTTTACGGGTTTTTAAATAAGAAAAATGTATTTAAAAATATGAAATATAGTATAATAACATAATACAGTGGACCCCCGGTTAACGATTTTAATCCGTGCAAGAGGGGTAATTGTTATGCGAAATAATCGTTATGTGAATGAATTTTCCCCATAAGAAATAATGGAAATAAAATTAATCCGTGCAAGACACCCAAAAGTATGAAAAAAATTTTTTTTTACCACATGAAATGTTAATTTTAATACACACAAACTGAAAAAGGCATGCACACTTACATGACACTTACTTTTATTGAAGATCTGGTGATGATTGATGGGATGGGAGGAGGGGAGAGCATTATCTTCTACTGTTTAGAAGGGGAATCCCCTTCCATTAGGACTTGAGGTAGCAAGTCCTTTTCTGGGGTTACTTCCCTTCTTCTTTTAATGCCACTAGGGCCAGCTTCAGAGTCACTGGACTTCTTTCGCACAAGATATCTGTCCATAGTGGCCTGTACCTCTCGTTCCTTTATCACTTCCCTAAAGTCTTTCACAACATTGTCAGTGTACAGGTTGCCAACACGGCTTGCAATAGCTGTGTGAGGGTGATTTTCATCCATGAAGGTTTGCACTTCAAGCCACTTTGCACAGATTTCCTTTATCTTTGTAGTAGGCAAACTTCTTCAATTTCTCTCTCCCCTCCTCTGAACCAGTTTCCCCAGGTCTGGGCCTCTTGCTCTTGAAGTTGATCTATCAGCTCATCAGTGGTTAGTTCTTCATTGTCCTCCTCCACCAACTCTTCCACATCCTCCCCACTAACCTCCAACCCCAAGGACTTTCCCAATGCCACAATGGATTCCTCAACTGGCATAATCCTCTCAGGGTTAGCCTCAACCCTTCAAAATCCCTTTTGTCTACACATTCTGGCCACAGTTTCTTCCAAGCAGAGTTCAAGGTCCTCTTAGTCACTTCCTCCCAAGCCTTACCTATAAGGTTTACACAATTGAGGATATTAAAGTGATCTCTCCAAAACTCTCTTAGAGTCAGTTGAGTTTCTGAGGTCATTACAAAGCACCTTTCAAACAGAGCTTTTGTGTACAGTTTCTTGAAGTTGGAAATAACCTGCTGGTCCATGGGCTGCAGGAGAGGAGTGGTATTAGGAGGCAAAAACTTCACCTTAATGAAGCTCATGTCCCCATAAAGTCGCTCTGCCACGTCTGTAGGATGACCAGGGCATTGTCTAACACCAGGAGGCACTTAAGTTCTAATTTCTTTTCAGTTAGGTAATCTTTCACATTGGGGGCAAATGCATGGTGTAACCAGTTATAGAAAAATTCCTAGTGACCCATGCCTTACTGTTTGCCCTCCACAGCACACACAAATTATCCTTGAGGACATTCTTTTGCCTGAACGCTCTGGGAGTTTCAGAGTGATACACTAATAAAGGCTTCACTTTGCAATCACCAGTAGCATTGGCACACATGAGAAGAGTAAGCCTGTCTTTCATAGGCTTATGTCCTGGGAGTGCCTTTTCCTCCTGAGTAATGTAGGTCCTGCTTGGTATTTTCTTCCAGAACAGGCCTGTTTCATCACAATTAAACACTTGTTCAGGTTTCAGTCCTTCAGTTTCTATGTACTCCTTGAATTCCTGCACATATTTTTCAGCCGGTTTGTGGTCCGAACTGGCAGCCTCACCATGCCTTATCACACTATGGATGCCACTACGCTTCTTAAATCTCTCAAACCAACCTTTGCTGGCCTTAAATTCACTCACATCATCACTAGTTGCAGGCATTTTTTTAATTAAATCGTCATGCAACTTCCTAGCCTTTTCACATATGATCGCTTGAGAGACGCTATCTCCTGCTAGCTGTTTTTCATTTATCCACACCAATAAGAGTCTCCAACATCTTCCATCACTTGCGATCTTTGTTTCGAAAACACAGTTAAACCTTTGGCAAGAACAGCTTCCTTGATTGCTTTTTGGTGCCCACAATAGTAGTGATGGTTGATTGGGGTTTCTTGTACAACTTGACTAGGTCGGCGATACGCACTCCACTTTCATACTTATCAATGATCTCTTTCTTCATTTCAATGGGAATTCTTACCCTTATTGGTGTACGGTTGGCACTAGAAGCTTTCTTGGGGCCCATGGTCACTTATTTTCCAGAAACAGCACCGAAAACACTGTAATAATACGAAATATTCCGAGTGTATGCTTGGATGTTACCGCGGAGGCTGGCTGGTAAACAATGGCACGGGCGGCACATGTGAGGCTGGCTGAGGGCGCACATTGGACGCGTCTCAGACGAAAATCGGTGAGCGGGTTTTTAATCGGTATGCGCGGCAAAAATTTTGCGATTAAAGTAAGCGGTATGCGAAATAATCGCTATGTGATGCCATCGTTATGCGGGGGTCCACTGTATAACAATAGAAGAGAATGTAAAGAATAACTGGTTTTCTAAAGTGTATTTACCTTGGAGATCAAACAACTTGGGCTAACAGAAGATGCTGGTGGAAGTGGAGGTGGAGGGTGGAAAAGATAGGCAGAGGAGATTGGAAACGATAGGCAAAGGAATTTTCTGGGCGATTCCTTTCAATAAACTCTGAAAATCTCTCCAAGATTCCCAACATTTCTGACGTTATTGCCTTTACCGACTCCTCCTGCTTTAGTATGGTACATATCATAGAAGTACTATGCTCGTACTGCCTTGCCAAATCAACTTCACACACACCTCTCTCAGGTTTTTCTATAATTTCATGCTTTAATTTAATGGACATCCTCCTCTTCTTCTCAGCACTGTCCTTTGCACTTACTTTCTTAGGACTCATAGTTAGAAAAAATAAATTTGGCAAAATAACTGCACAAAATGCCAGCACATGGGAGATGCTTCTATGGTGAGGTAACCATATGCACTGAACTGTGGGATGCTGGGCGGATGTTGTGGCATTCACTGCACCAACTAGTGGCGGCATATCTGAAGCTCGCTCATAACTTGGATTTTGGCTTGCAACTCAAAGCAAAAAATCAACCGAGTGATGGCTCGTAACTCGGAAAACTCGTAAGTTGGGGCACTCGTAAGTCACAGTACCACTGTACACTTAACCTGCATATAAGAGAAAGAAACTTATGATGCCATTTCTGACTTGGGCCATTAAATAGTCACATACGTGATTAGTTAATGATCCAAGTTGGACTTTAATGTCATGAGTTTCTTTCTCCTATATATGGGTCATTTGTGTTCTGTTCCAGTCATGGTATTGAACCTTTTTATTCTTCAAGTATGAGAAACAAACTTCTCTTTGGACAACGTCACCACTGCACAGTATCCACTCATGGCTGAGCATTATATTAATACAAGAAAATTTTCTTTCTTTTCTCCAGTTTTTGCTGAAGCTACAGAAAAGTCACTCCTCCTCCTCTTCCTCATTAGGTGCTTTGTCAAATAGAGGTCATTAGCACTTACATTCATTATATACAACCTCTCCTCACTTAGTGATGGAGTTCCGTTCCTAAGACCACGTTGGTAAATGAATTCATCACTAAGCAAGGAGCACACTATAATAGTAGTGGGTTTGTGTCAACAATCATTAATATTGTTTTAAAGTCGCCTTTGCACCATTTATAAATATTTTCAAATGTTTATAGTAGTGTACTGTATATTGTAATAAACAGATTAGAGGAAATCAGCTCTAATAAACAATATTTAGGTATGCATACAGGTCAAAGAGCCTGTCATAAGTCTGAATTGTTGGTAAACAAGTACAATGCTACACGAGGAGAGGCTGTACTTATTTGCACACATTTAATGACCTTAAATTCATATATGTAATGTTTATTGCCCTTGTAGTCCTAAGTTAGGCTTCAGCTTGCCCAAAATGCTCTGCATAACCATGGGCTTTGTGCATGCATTCAAGTGTCAAAAATCTCAGCATAAACAATGTATCATGTGCAAATAAACTTTGACTTTGAATGAGATACTTTAAGTCGAGAATACAGTGGACCCTCAATAATTGTAAAGCTCGAAAGTCGTAATTTTCGAAAATCAAAACGTTATTTTCGTAGAAACATTGACTCGCGAATCATCGTTTGACTCATAAATAGTTGTTCATCTGGGATGTGTACACACAGCCGAGTCGCCTCACACTCCATTCCCAGCCAGTGTGCCATTGTTTATCAGTGAGTGAGGATTATCCCACGAGTTCATACAATACATTTCATAATATACCATTTGTTTTAGTGCTTGCAACTGCTAAATAAGTCACCATGGCTCCAAAGAAAGCTTCTAGTTCCAGCCCTTTGGTAAAGAGTGTGAGAAACACACATAATTTAAGAAAAATTTGTAGAAAAATACGAAGGTGGTGGTGGTAGAGTGGTAGCAGTTATAGTGGTAGAGGGTGGTAGTGACAGTGGTAGAGGGTGGTAGTGGTTATGATAGTGGTAGATGGTAGTAGTGATGGTGGTAGAAGGTGGTAGTGATGGTGGTAGCAGTTGTGATAGTGGTATAAGGTGGTAGTGATGGTGGTAGAGGATGGTAGTGGTTGTGATGGTGGTAGAGGGTGCCTCCTCCAATGTTGTTGGAGTTATATAGGGCTACAGAAAACACCGCCGCCTCAGCTGCTGCTTCACCACCATTATGGACGGTTTACTCTCAGTGGCCCTTATACACCCAACAACAACACACCTCTTGTGACATACATAATGACTTATTTTATTCATTCTAGAGTATATTCCATGTTTCTATGTTATTAATATTGTTTATTATGTCATATAAGTTGAATTGTGATAGATAAATAAGCCGTAGAGTTGATATTAGTGTCATATTCTCCAACAATCTTGCCT